ATTTGCTGACAGAAATCGAGATTCCTGACTACAAGAGGTACTTTAAACCCTTTATTAGTACATTTCGTTGGATTTATGGTTGTCAATTGGGGTAAAGTATGCCTTTTTTGGGAATCTGTGAATTAAAGTATTATAAACCCTAATTATGCGAATCTTTGACTGAATTAGAGTGTGCATTTGTTAAATAATTAGTTAATTAGATTTACTTGTTTACTGTTAATTTAGTGCATAGTCAATGTGAATTGCTTTTACTTGCTGTAATTGGTGAATTGGTTGTTGTTGTTTACTGTAATTACTGAAATTGGTTATTGTTGTGTGTGCTTTTGTTGGTGTTGTTACAGAATGGACACAGTGGACTTAAAAATTACAGTAGGGGGTGCCTTTATACCTTCTTTAGCTGGTAAAAATAGGAGGGTGTTAACTTGGGATGGTGGGTGGGTTTATTGGATGAGAAAAGTGGAAAAAAAATAAGATAGATGTACACTTTTTGAGGCAAGCAACTATACATGGGTTTGTGTATGTGAATGTGAAGGTTCCTAGGGGGTTTAGTTGCTGGTATAAACAAAAGGGCAAGTCTTGGGTGAATGGTAAAAGGGAGCTTGTTGATGGTGAGGTGAATGGTTTCCTAGAGTCTGTGAACAAAGAGGGGGCATGTGAGATGTATGTTACCAGTCATGAGCCAATTGAAGGGACTAACAAAACACCCTTCAACTGAAATTTGATGGTGCAACTTTCAAGGAATTGTTCTGGGCTGCTGCTAGGGCAAGCACTCTGGTAAGCTTCTATTTAGGTTCTTTTATGTCAGTTTTATGGTGAACTATAATGTATGCTAGGAACATTTAGTTTTGCACATATTTGCATGTCTTTCTATTTTGTGAAAACTGTATGCCATGTGTCTATGTTGTATTGAATGGTTGTCATGTGTGTGGTTGTATCAGTTTGAGTTTGAAGTTGCTATGGAAAGTATCAATTTTTTGGATGAAGAAGCATACCAGTGGCTGTCAAACATTGACCCCCAGCACTGGTCAAGGCATGCTTTCTCTACAAACTGCAAGTCTAACATGTTGTTAAACAACATGTGTGAGACATTTAATTCAGTGATTAGAGATGCCAGAGACAAGCCTATTCTAACTCAAATGGAATGGCTTAGAAGATATATGATGAAGAGGAGTAATGACAAATGGGAGGCAGCAAAGTCTTGGGAAGTTTACTAACCCCATTTGTCAACAAAGTCTTTGATGGGTTGGAGAAGTATGCCATGACATGTGAGGTTACAGCTTCAAGGGATGAAATTTATGAGGTGAAATACAAGGATGATCAGTGCATTGTGGATCTGCAAGAGAGAAAATGCACTTGTTATAGATGGGAGTTGACAGGAATACCTTGTGTCCATGCATTTGCTTGCATAATGGACAAAAGGGATGATCCTGAGTTGTATGTGCACCCACATTACTATAGGGTGACATACTTGGCTGCATATGAGAACCCAATACAGCCAATGCCTGGCCCTAAGAATTGGGAAAAGGTCAAGCTCAGACAGCCTTTGCCACCTATGCTGAAAGTGCAGCCATGAAGACCTAAGGCAAAAAAGAGAAAGCTTGAACCAGGGGAGGGCACTTCTGCAGCACTTGAGGGCAAGAAGCCAAAGGTGAAGAAACAATGCAAGAACTGTGGTGGGTTTGGCCACTTTGCCAAAACATGCAAGGCTGAAGCAGCACCAGAACAGCCTAACCCACCTGCAACAGATCCAAAGGGTGGGAGGCCACAGATGTAGACTCCTTGGCTTAAGGAACAGAGAAAGAAAAGTGAAGAGAAAGCAGCAAGATAGGTATTTTGTGTATTTTGTGACTTGAGTGTATTTAGTGGCTTTGTTTTTTAGTCTTGTCATACTGTGATTGCAGGCTGCACTGAAGTTGCCACAATATCAGCCTCCAACAACAGCACAGGCTGGGTCAAGTAATGCTGCACCTGCAACTGCTGTGTCAAGCCAGCCTGCAACAAGAACAGAGCCTTTGCCAACTCAGCCTGTTACCAGGAGCAACAGGAGCCTGAGTCAGCCCACAAGAGTGCCAACAACTACTCCTCCCAAAGTCAAAATACAGACCAGGTCCAAGCTTCATGTAATGACAAGCAAGAAGGACAAGGATCTCAATCAACTGTGACCCTAGGTCTACTCATTAGTATTTTGTAATAGACAGCCAAGTTTATTTGGTAGTTGAACAATGATAGTTGAACAATGATTTTGCACAAAGGTGCCTTAACTTTTGTCTCAGCCAATGTAAAACAATTAAAAACATTGTGTTGCAAGTACTAATACGAAATGTGATATGTTTCTACCAAAAAGTTCCATTTCTCATTGATTTTGTTAAAAGTAGTACAAGAAATGTCATCCCAACATCCACACATAATAATTCAACATTTCTAAGCATTCCTAAATGAACCTAAGATCTAAAATACATAGCCAGTACCAAACCAAAACAACAAAACACAACAATAGCATGTACTGTGAGCATTTTCTTTGTTGTTGCATTGCTGCCATGCACTTACTTGATCATCTTCTTCCTGTCTGAGCTAAGAGCTTTGCATTTCATCTTCAAGCTGTCAATCTCATTGAGCAAGCACCTCCTTTGTCCACTAACATCATCAACTTCCCTCTTCATGTCATTCAGCTCTCCCTTCATTAGTTTCTTGTCCAACAGCAAGTTGTTAATCACCTCTGTTTGCCAAGGTGTTCCATCTGGTTGATCCACCCACTCAAAAGCTTTACACCCCCTTGACTCAGTCATAGGATCATAGAATTTGCAGGTCCTAAACTTGCGTCCTGGGTTCTCCCTAGTCCAAGCAGTGAGCCTAGACATTGGAACTCCACATTGGCATTTTTTCTCCTTTGAGGGTGACATGCTAACTGAAGACATTCCCTTCTGAAATTCAGTAAGAACAAGAATGAAATTAATTGTATTTGAACACAATCACCATAATATAACCCTAATTTCAGTAGCCAATTCACATAACAAAAACCCCCAATCTAATTTAATCTTACATGAACCCTAAGTATTTTAATTGAAATTGGGGTTTAATTGACCTCACAAAACGCCCAATTTCAATTACTCTTAGCAAATGCAACATAATCACGCAACGAATTGCCAAAAAATTACAACAGAAATCAGGAAAATTGCTAGAGAATTAACGACAATGGCTTACCTTTTTGATGCTTGTTGTCGAGGAGTTCAATTGGTTGTTTGATAATTAGAGGGTTTGGGATTGTTAAGGTTGCCCAAAAATACTGATTTGTGAAGAAAATCGCAAAAATTAATCTCCAATCTGCAAGAATTTGGTGTACAAATGAAGAACTAGGTTTAAATAAAAGGGAAATCGAGAGAAATTTGGGAAAAAAAATCAAAAACTAGCCGTTATGCTGGGCCCCACAAGCGTTTTCCGTCACCTGAGCTCAGATGAGGTGGTAAAACTGATGTTTAATTTTTTTATGAGGTGGTAAAGTAAATGTTTTTTTTTTTGAGGTGGTAAATTTGACAAAGTCATTATTCGAAGGTGGTAAAAATGAAAATTTCCATATTTTTAACAATTTTGTTTTTTAAAAAAAAACTTTAAAATAAAAAATACTTAAAAAAAACTGATTTTTTTTTTTTTTTTTAAAAAGGCAAACCCCCTTAGACGGCAACAACCCCACCACCACCTGCCACCGCCCTGCGCTCAAATCCACACCCCGGTGCCGGAAAACCCATTTCGCCCCTCTATAGGCCATCTCCACCCATTCCCCCCGTGAACCACCAAAAAGTCAAGAACCCCTAAAACCACCACTCGATTTTGGGGTTTTAGGATTTTCATGTGGTGGTTCAAGGGGGAAGTGGTTGGAGACGGCCGACAGAGAGGATAAACGAGTTCACCAGCATCGGAAGTGAGTTTGGTCGTTTTTCGGTGAGGAGAGGAGTGTTTTCAAGGGGAAAGAGATAGAATTTAGGGTGGTTGGAAGATGGTTCAGGAAAAGGGGACAGAGGGGTTGGATGGTCGGGCACTAGGTCAGAAGAGGGTATCACCGGCGCGGGTAAAGGGCTTAGGTTGCCGACGGTGATGTTGGGCGGTGGTGGGGTGGTGGGGTTGCTGCCAGTAAGGGGAAGATATTTTTCTTTTTTAATTTCAGTTTTGTTTTTAGTTTTAAATTTTTTTTAAAGTTATTTTAATTTAAGTTTTGTTTTTTTAAATCATTATTATTAAAGAAAAAATGTTAAAATAAATTAAAAATATTTTAATCAAACACCAAGTGACAAATGTCAAATGTAACCTATAAAATAGGTTACATGTTTTTTGTTCTATTTTTGGCAGATGCATATTAAGGTCGTTTCATTAAGAAATAAATCAAAGGTCGTTTCATTTATGGAAGATCGGTGAAAGGTGGTATTATTTTTGGCAAATTTTCCTACTGTAAATGAATATCCGAAAATTGGAAATGAACATTTCATTAAATGCAATATATTTTTTTAATGAAAGAGAAACTCCAAAGAAATAAATTTTTAAAATAGAAATTAACATTGCCATATATAAAAATGGGACATTTTTAATACGAGGGTATAAAGAAACAATAAAAAAAATCTTGGGTGGACTTGGTCCACAATAAATTTATTGTGGATCAAAGTGTCTCACGTGCCACAAAACCATCCCAGTCTAAAGCCCATACAAACAGCCCAAGTGCAAATAAACCCCTTCTAAACCCCAAACCCAACTACTGCATTTTTTCTCTCCTCTGCCCCTGATATTGCTTGACAAAATTAGGGTCTTCATCTTTTCTATTTTATACACATCACGAACAACAATGCATTATCATTTCATAATTTCGAAATTTTTTCTCTCTTCTCTCAACAAAAATTTAGATGGTACATGGTTACCTTTTTAAATAGTAGAACTGATTAATTTGATATAGTTATCTTTATAATCACATAGTAACCTTTATTTACTCTATATTTTTTTCTTAATTTTCTTTGATCTTTTTTTTTTTTTTTTTATAATGATGCTGATCATAAAATCTTAAATGCAAAATAACAATCTATTTTGATAATTTCTTATTGTCAGTTATTTATCTCTAATGAAACATAAAATATTAACATAATGACCTTAATTGTAACATAATGTCCTTTTTGATATTATAATGACCTGTAAATATAGATACCCTATTATTAACATAGCCACCTTTTTTATAACATCAATACCTTATTAATTTTTTTTTTTTAAAAAAAAAACTAGCTCTTTTTACTACTATTTTTTGTTCTGGAATGTAGCATTTATGCTAATACGTAGCCTTGTCTTGAGGTGCCTTTATAGCCTTCTTTTGCCTCTCTCTGTAACCTCCTTCTTCCTCTCTTCACCTTTTTCTGCCTCAACCAAATATGAGAGTGCATGCACTGAAATACGAAATCAAAATCTTAAATAAATTAATTATATAGCTAATTCTCATAAACACTGAAATTGAAATTAATTACAATTAATCACGGATTGAAAAAAAAAAAATTGAAACCCAATTTTTATATACTAGATGAAATTGAAGGTAAAAAGCCAAAAAAATACCTTCAAAAAAGCCGAAAAATCAACTTAAAAAGAAATTAAGCAACAATTGAACAAAATGCACACACATATAGAAGATCTGAAATCAAATACGAGTAAACAACTACTGATTTATGAAATCAACATCAAATTAGAATGACATAACTAATTGATAACAAAATTCAACTTAAATACAAATAAACACATGAATCGAACAAAATGAAACCCTAGATCTTCACAAATCCTTCAATAAGAAACAAAATTCAAACAAAAAATCATGCAAATAGCTTCAATTGAAAAAAAAAACCGCAATTAATCAGCATAAAAGTACATAAATCAACTTAGAAACAAAAATTGTACCAGGAATTGGTTGATTATTGCGTTTTGCGTCTGATAACCGAAGACCTCTTCTACTCATACACATCCCACTGCTTCTGTGTTTTGCCATTGAAGAAGAAATTGAGCAATATTGAAGTTATTGTTGTGAATTGAAGAGAGAATTTGAGCTATGAAGAGAGAGAAAGTGGCAGAAGAGAAGGTTTGAAGAGAGAGAAATTGACTGGTGATATAAAGAGGGGAAAAAATATAAAGAGGGGAAAAAAATAAAAAGAGGGTAAAAAAGGACGAAGGAAGGAAGAGTAATAAATAGAATTAAGTTGTCTGAAATTTTGTTGCCTCCTCCACACGCACGTGAGAGGTAGTTGGTCCACAATAAGTTTATTGTGGACCAGGTTTATTTAAGAATTTGTAAGAAACAATACTCCCTCTTTTTCAATGTCTGAGATTAGTAAGGGGGAGGGTGGGCGGTTCGATGTCTGAGATGAGTGTTGAGGGGGCGAGGTGGGAAGGGGGAGGATTTGGTGTGATATTTGGCGAGTAGAATTTGAGACTTGCGACCTAAAGTCACTACCTTAGAGATAAGTTCGTTTGTGTTCCATTGTTCATCAACGATTTCCACTCTCTAATTCCATATTAAGACTGTGTGACTGCGGCAGCTACGTCCAGTGCACTACAAAGGTAACACTGAAAATGCCAATTCAACAGCAGCACTAGAAAATAGACATTGCAATAAGATGGCAACATAGCATCAAAATGGCAGTAACACATCAAAATTAAATAAAACATCCCACTTCAAAAAGCATCAAACTGTCAAAATCTTTCTAGTTATAACCACAATTTTATCTACTCAAACCAATAGAAAGCTGTTGCTATACAGTTTCAAAAGTGAAGAGGGTGTAACACACTCCAGAAAACTTGGGAGACTATACAATGTCTCAGCACTAAACAAGTCTGGAAATAATTCCCTTTTACGCTTTCTTGGTCTGAATTCTTCAATCTTCACACTAAAGCCAACTCTGAAAGTGGGAAAACAGAACAAATGATACTTGCTAGTATAGAAGAAAAAAACCATAATACAAAGATCCACCAATGCGAGCCTGCGCGAGATATTAAGCAATGAACATACGTCAAAATCCATTCCAAATAAATGCTCCTTCAACTATACTGTTACAAGTTCAGAGGAATCATATAGACATTTGATTTACATTAAGCAGATAAATATTTCACTAAGAACAGAAAAATGCTACTCCGTATCCTGTTTTATCTAGTTCAACTATACTGTTACAAGTTCAGAGGATAAGAAACGCCATTTCCAAGATTTTTCCACCATAGACTCCATTAATTGTCTTTTCTAGATCACACATCACAGCTTAAATTCCTTCTTGATTTAGGGAGCAATTGCAGATAAATCAACAAAGTATGGGCATGTTAAGATAGGGAATCTTCCATTGATAAAAGCAGGTTGCAACTGTTTCCAAATACTCAAAATAAAGAGGGTAATTTCAAAGAAAAACTATCAGGCAACAGAATGAATGCAAACAACTAAAGATATTTCCAATGTGAAGCTGTAACAAACAAATTTACGTATTTCCTACAAAACCAGAAAGTCTAGGAATGACCTAAACAGCCACTCAAGCAAAAGCATAACACAAAAACAACAATTATTAATAGCAATGCAAGAAAACCAACCTGGCAAACAGAAAACTTGAGCAATAAATACATTCAACCAATACCCCTATCCTCTCAGTTCGTTAGGCTCTGAAAAGTATGCAACCTCTGAATCCAGAAAATCATGAACCAGGCAAAAAAATATATCACTACATCATGATAAATCCAAAATAATACTACTCATTCTGCATCCAAAAAGTAGCTATTTCGATTGCAACTTAATTTCTCTTCATTGTGGGGTTATTGCCCATAAACGAACACAGCCATCCTCACCCGAACTGTAGATGCTGCATTCATCAGCAAATTCCACACCATAAACTCCACCCAAGTGAGCAGCCTTTACTGTTGTCCTAGATGAAGCAGGTTTTCCAAGTTCATAAATTATGACACAAGTATCAAGAGATCCAGTGGCAACCATAGTGCTTTCAGGGGACCAGGCTAAGCAGTTAATACGAGCAGTATGGTACAGCATGTTATTAAGCTTTACCTGCAAGCACACATTAGAATTAAAGAAAAAACAGATCACATCACAAGAAATTGATGCATGTATAATTTTTAGGTAGTTTATGATATCAACATATTCTACTATCCTCCAAAATAAATCCAACTATAGTACTATGGGAATTTAGGTTGATTTTTCTGTTCATTTAAAATTGCAACATGAGGGGAGTGCACAAAAAAATTAGGTTGTAGGAAAAAGAAAGGGATAGAAAGAAAGATTACAAACTTGCCCATGTTAACGATGTGATTACAACCATTAATTAATATTTCTCCCTAAGGTTATTATGGGAATTTGCAATAAGAAAGAAGACACTTGTTATCCTAAAATGGATGTGTTACAAAATTGCACTGTAAATCACCCTCTAATCATACATTGTTTTTCTTCACTGTTCATTGATAAAGCAAAGTTTACAGTTCTGTGGTCAAATACTCAGAAAGTACAAGGTGTCATGCCCAGGGAGAACCAGAAATTAGAATGGGCAACCTGCTAGTAATCTGCAGCACTTTGAAAGGGGTTTGTAAATATATAACAAATGAAAAAAGCTTTAAAAATCAATCAATTGGGGAGGACATCAGCATTTCAGTAAAGCAAACCAGCTGCCTTCCATTTACAAACAAGATGGGAAAAGAAAAGGCCATTTTTCAACATACCTCTCTGGTAGAACGATCCCAAACAACAGCCTCTCGGTTGGCATCACCAGAAGCAAACATGGAAACATCTGGAGAGTATCGTATCACAGTAATGGCACCCCGATGCTTTTCCAGAACAGCTTCTTCTGTCAAAGTATCACCAGACACAGAATATATATGCAATTTTCCATCTTGGCCACCCAATACAGCTTCAGTTCCATCAGGTGAGATGGCAGATGCTGTCACAGTAAATCCAAGGTCAATGCTTGACAAAACTTTCAAACCATTAAGAAGCACTGCTCCTGAATCAGTAGCAACTAACACAAGTTCAGGCACATTTAGAGCAACACTCAAATCCTTTGGCTGGCTTCCTATATCAACATGCTCAGCAGATCCACATGTATCTGCTTGGATGGGAGCTCTCCACACCTAGCACTCAAACATCATGGAATCAGAAACTACCATACATCCCAGAAATACAAGTTGAAAGCTTCTGTTGAAAACAAAGCACCACAATGTGGACAGTTTTTGTCTTAAAAGATATCAATACAGCATAACTGCACTTTATCAATAAACCATGTAAAATATATGGAAACTTCAAACAGAGTAATGACACAAATATACCAGTGTGCACCAGTAGGGATCAGAACAATTATCACGTAACCATAAAAATAGAACACTCTGAAATTACACTTGCAATGCTCAAGTATAAAACAATCAAAGGGTAACTACTGGCAATTTAGGTGTTCTGTATACGTTTACAGAATTTCCTACAGAATGTTTAAAAAATGAATCGCAGGTGAAAAATTGTAGAAGAAATCGACTCATATAAGCTCAACCAACTAGAAATCTCCAACAACTCCTCCGCATAGAGCATTCGTCCTGAAATAGAATTTTTGAGAAAGGGTACTTATACCACTAGCCCAGTAGATCATTGAAAGAGTCCTTAATGATATAATAATAGCACAATAACGCATCTTCTGTTTAGAAAACCTATATACTAAAAACAAATCCTGGAATAGGTGACCTACAAACTTTCCCAGGATGTTTATATGAGGGGATTAAGTATAGTGGAAAAAATTGTTGGTTTGTGTAGCCAGATGTCACTGTTTGCAAGCACCACATATATTCTTAATCACGGCCTAGGAAGAAGCCAGAGTATTATCTATATTAGAATTAACAAGGCAACAATTAACCATGTAACAATACTAAGAGTTGCTTAGGGTGGGTGACCTGTTTAAAAATTTCCCATGGTGCACCTAAACAAAGATTATTGTGCTTGAAGCAGATATATAAAACTTAAGTGGGCTATCATCATTTCTAACACGTAAGCAATATGTGGTAACAATTTGCGGTCAGAAAAATCCATAATACCTACCTTGTTATCAAATCCAGATAAAATGATCTCGCCTTCCACAGCAATACAACATTTAATGGGTGCATGATCCTTCATGTTTATATTGCCAGAATATCCGACACCACGGATCCATTTAACTACCACTCCATCATAGCTGCATGAAAGTACCATATTTCGATCATTCTTGAAGATAATCAAAGAAGAGACATTTTTAATATGTCCAGAGAGAGTACGGGGAGCTTTCTCCAAATCGCTTGCTGAATATACATTGATAACACCACCAAGTGAAACAGTAATTAGATGATCATTCTGCCAAAGACATCCAACTAGCATGTCCTCTACTCCGCCAGATCCAGAAATCAATGTTTTAATAACATTCCCATTGCCATCTTGTGAAATTTCCCATATTTTGGCAGTTTTATCCGCTGATACAGTCAGTACCTAAATAAGGTTCCATTAGTATAGAGTCATAGACGGCTAATTTGAATAATCTAACAAGCAGATGCAGCAACACAAAAGAAAATTAAAATGATATTCAAAGTCTTTTCATATAAATTCAAAAGACTATAATTAGGAAGAGACATAAACCAAGCCAATTAGAGAGCTACGATACAGACCACTTTTCCTTCTCTTTGATATCTTCTTCAAATTTGCATTTTACTTTAATCAAGCTGGTACCCCTTAACTATAGATCATTCCATAATCATGCAAACTTTATGGAGGAGACAGGAGATGTCTCACCAAATGAGAGAACGAATAAACAATTACTCCGTATTTAAGAAATGTAGGATGAACTTCCCTAATTGGGGCATAAAAAGCAGATGGCAATAAATAAATGAATGAGGAAAGCTGGTGATACTGGATTTAAGCCCAACATCCAAACTAGTTGGCCATAATCATACTTAGTATAGAAAAAATGGACCATATCTAAGTCATTTTTTAGGAGACAACTGACAAGTTATGCTTAATGGAACGTCTCTAAGTAATTTTATATTCATTTCTAGTCATTTTCAATTTTAAAAATATAAGAAGTAATATTTTAAATTTTAAAATATAAGAATCGAAAAATAAAAACAGTTCTTGTCCTATCCTATCACAAGGGGAAGTTGGGCCTGGATAATGTATTTTGCCAGGAAACAGAGAAAACTACCATATCTAAGGAAAGTTCTAAAAATGGCAGGCGATTGTACATGTTATGGGGTCATTTCACCAACCTTGCTCACAAAGACCTCCTAAGAAGAGCTTTACTGCCATTTCCTACATTAAGCTTTGAAAAGTGATCAGGTTTGTTGATTTGCACCTAGGTCTGCCTGATTGCTTCTATAATGACCAGTGCAGTTGAAAAGCTGTTGTTTCTAAGGCTATAAAACTCCACTAGAATATTTTAGCAGCAATGAAGCAAAAGATATTTGCAGTACAACACAAGAAGAGTTAAAAGACTAGATTAAAGGGCCTTGTTTTATAAGAGAACATTACGTGAAGAAGAAAATATGTACTCGATTAGATAAGTTATATCAATTCCATGCAAATAGTGATCACTAATGATGCAGGAGCATCTAAGATTTCCTTTCTTGACTCTTTCAGTCGTTCTTGATAAGTTTTAATGTTTCTTTAAATAGAATTTTGCTCGCAAGTTTTTACCTTTCGCTTGAAAGGGTTTTTCTTGTTTTAAGCACCTTAAAATTTCAATTTCTTTAAAGTTCTTTAGGTTTCCTTGATAAGTCATGTGTTATTTCAATTAACTAGTTTTTTAAAAAAATCTGATTTTTAGTTAGACAGTTTAGTTTGATGTGGTTTACTTGGAAATTTGGAATTCAAGTTAGAGTAGAATTAGTTTTCCTAAACTTAGTAGGATTTTATCTATTATATCTTTTTCTTGTAAAGCCTATAAATAGGCCACAAAATTATCAATAAAATTCAAAGTTTTTGTTTTGGAAATTAATCCTTTGAGCACTGCTTGTTTAATTGTTAATCGAAAACATCACTTGCTGTGACTTGTGATCATCCTCTAGTGGTGACTAGGAAGAGACCCTTGAAAATCTCAAAGATGAAATGCAAGAACCGAAACTCGGCACTCAAATAGCATTTCTTTCTTCACTCTTGACATACAAAAAGCCTTAAATCAAATTTTGAATGTCAGTAACACTAAGGCAAGACTCAAGAATGTTAGGCAAGCAAACCCAATTATCTATCATCTAATTGTTTTCTTTCTCTAGATATTTTATAGAACCATAGTCTTTATCTCAGAAATCACTACATTCTACGATAACTGGTAACCAACAATTTAAACATTTGAACTTCTAACATTTCATTAAAGAAAAATTAACATTCCAGGCTTTCTAGCTAACAAAAAATTATCCTCTATGGCTATATTAATTTCCATAATTTATAAAACTGACATAAACATCTGCAGTGTAACAGATTAGCATGATGCTTTCAAGGTTTAAGCCTAATATTTTACAGCAACATTGTGAAATCAGGATATTTTAACTGTTTTCTTGGTTAATCATCTGTCTTACGAAAGTGGTCAGCTTTTCCTCATATATAAAAATAACTTTACTAAGAATTTTCTCGTCCCCAACCCACCAACAACACTCCAAATACCTCAAAAGAGGTGCCTGCCTTTGGCAGGATGAAAGAATAAAAGTGTCAAATTAAATATGATGGAAACAGAAGAATGATCAATTAAATGAACCGTAGTTGATGTTGTCAATTAGTAATCCAAAAAAAACAAAGAACAGTAAATCCTTGATTCTTTTAATATCAAATAGAAAAGAGAAGAAAAAGGTCAGTCAACAAAATATATTGAAAAGAGAACCACTTGAAAAGTAACCAATATGTTATCCCTCCGTTTCACAATGATCTTACCATTTGGAGTCTTTTGACTACCAAAAATGATAGAGAATCTTCTAAATTCCTCTCCCATGTATAAGAACATAGTCATAGAGGTCTAGTTTGGTTCGTCTCAGTAAGAACATTATTAAAATCCAATTTTTATAGTTTTTGCAAATGTGAAATTAGATATGTTCGCAATCAATCGATATTCCTAAATGGGAAGATCATTATAAAACAGTCAGAGTACATACATAACACATAAACAAGGCATGACTTGCAACACAGCTTATTCTTTATCTTCCTACAACATAACAATTACCTGCTTACTATCTGGACTCCAGCTAACAGCGTAAATACTACCTTGATGTCCATCCTGTGCAGAAAGTTCCCCAAGTTTTTCTCCTGTCTTTCCTTCATAAACTATACCTTTCTTATCAGAACCAACAGTAATGAATTTGCTCCCATCAGGAGAGAACCTCACACAGTTGACAAAATTTGAGTGCTCCCTACAAATTAATAGACAAGTTAGTTCCAATGAAAACTAAGTTCAGCAAACTGACAAATCAGCATGTTTCAATTATCAGCCTGTTTAAGAAACATGGAAAATTATATGATGAAGATTAGAGCCCAATAGTTAAGGAATCCTCTAAACATATTAATGAGAAAAAAGAGTGACCCAATCATGCTCTAAATTAACATATGCAGCCAGGAAGATCCAACATAGAGCGACACCAGATGAATGCAAGATTCAATACTATTTCCTCCCAACCATAGCTTTGATTGAAATTGCAGAGTCATTTCTCAGACTACAAAACAAGAAACACCCAGCCATACTATCACCAAAGTTCCTCCTTTCATTTCTTCCAAAGTTCACATCAGATATCAATAGGTATGACAAAACTAAAGAAAAGCAAACCCAATGTCATGGCGGAGCCAAAACAGTGGTAGGGCACCGTACTATTTGGAAATCCTCTTATCAAACCACATTTTTACAACTTCGTCAGTTCTCTATTAGTTGCAACAGTTGGAGATTTGCAGTTTGCACAATTCACATTCTCCCATTCTGCCATTTGACCATGATTGATGATTTTGATGTTGGGAAAATATAATCATGTGGGGTCTTTTTAGAAGCGTCTCAATTTGTACTTTCACAATATCAAACTTTACTCATCTATAATTAGATATATAAAGGGTTGAAATTATGCATTAACAAGCATGAAAGTCAAAACAATGCAACTAAAAGCGAACGGAGGAAGTATATTCTCTGGTAAGACACACACCTGGATTCCAGGGCAGTCCACCTCTCTAAAGGATGTGACAATCCAGTCCCCCCTCCCCCAAATCACACACACACAAACACACCGTACAAGGGCATATGATCCTATATCATAAATCTGGAATCGGACATAAATACCATTGTGCGCCCCCCACCCTTTAAAAAAAAAAAAAAAAAAAAAAAAAAAAAAAAAAAAAAAAAAACACACACACACACACACACACCATACAAGAACATAGGACTAGAAGGTTGACACAATACGATGTGGTCCATATAACAATCTTCTTATAAATTAGACAACGGCATGTAACATAATGTTTCAAATATTATACCAAAAACGGCCACATCAAACCACAGAAGTACTATAAGAAAAAGAACCTTTGAGAGTGCTTAAACTTGAAAGGAGGGCCTTCATAAAAGTTCACCAAAAAGTCTTCTCCACAGGTAACAATCCGGTATGGCCTTGATGGTTTGAAAGCACAACTAAGAACCCGCCTTGAATGACCATCAAACTCTCCAACAGTAGATCCTGAATCCCACCTGAATAAAGATCATCATGAAAAGTAAGATTACTATTTCAATCATCACAGCAAGATAATCTTTGATAAAGTCAAGCACATGCAGAACTTATGGGAAGTTGGGAAGATAATCAAATGAAAAAAAGAGAAGAAAAGAAAAAATCATCAAATTGATTAATGGGGAAAATATGCTTTCCTTGGCAACTTGCATGAAACAATGATTGGAGTAAATTAGCATAGATACTTATGAGAAATGATTACAAAGATAACAAAGGCCATCAGATTAAAGAGCTGCAAAAGAATAGATACTTCTACTAAGCTCAATCAAAAATCAAACCAATAAAACAAGTCAATAGAAGCTAAGAACACAATTATGATTAGAATACAACTTTCCTACCATTAATACCATCTCTAAATCAGCTTACCCATATAAAATGCCACCCTCAAAATCAAAACCACAACAAATTCTCGAACAAATTCTCTAAATCAGCTTACCCATATAGAATGCCACTCAAAATCATAACCATATCAAACCACAGAATTCAACAAGACAACAAACATATCCAAACAACACAAATAAAATTCAAATTAACCCAGCATTTGTATAAACAATTACCAAAAATTCACAATCAATATCATCAGAAGAAAAAAAAATAAAAATCACAATCCAACATCAAACAATTTCAAATTCCACAAAAAAATCAACCAATCAGTCAACCATAACAACATTGCTAACAAACCCATCAAAATTCAACACCAATCAATCAATTAAAAAAAAAACCACTAACATGAAAGCTCGAACCAACGATTTGCCCTTGCCATCACCAGAAGCAACAATCCGAAGACTATCAGGACTCCATTGAAGATCATCAATCCGACCGGAAAGAACCTTAAACTCATTCTTCAAAACAAACCCATTATGGGTACCCCAGATCCTAACGATCCCAGAAACATCCGCAGAAGCGATCCATTCACCATTAGGAGAGTATCGTGCAACAGTAACAGGATAAGCATGTTCGCCATAAACCTCAACATTCTGAGGATTATCGAGGTTTCGGATGATCACTGATCTTCCATTGCAGTAGAGAATGTTGTTTGATTTAGGATCGCCGGAGATTAGGATGCCGCGACCACGCTCTGTTGAAGGTACGCAAGCGTATGTTTCAGAGAGATGAACTTGCGCCATTGAAGGAGAGAGAGGAGGAAGATGGAGGAGAGAGAAGAAGAAAATGGAGGAATGTAAGAAAGGAAGAAATTGAGATTGGACAAAAAAGGGGGAATTTAAATCATTATTGTTGTTGTTAATTTGTTATTGAGAATTTTGTGGGGACACGTGGGAGTGAAATTTTTTGAGGGGACAGATTTTAACCCGTTTTGGGGTTTGATCCCGAGCGGGAGTTTCAACAATTAAACTAACCACCAATTAGTTTGCACCCTTGTGCACCTTAAATAGGTGTAAGAAGGTAGCCCAAAAATCTAATTACACACAACCCAATTAAAAAAAACCCTAAAACTAAAAAACACGGAATCTGCAATACACCCACCCACACCCAATAAATGTAATGTCATTTCCAAACTCAAAAATCTTCTTCTTCTATATGATTTTCTCTCTCCTCTTTTTTACTATCTCTCTCCTCTATTTCATTCTTTCACTAAAAAATTTGCAAAAACTTCAATGGACATTAGGAAAGAGATGCAAAATCAAAAGGATCCTCCCCAAAAAGGCAATTTTATGTAAATTTCACTTAATTTTGTTTGAATTTATATGATTATCACTTAATTTTGTTTGAATGTTGTTCGAAATTTATTATTGGAATTGTCAAAAAAATTAGTGAAATCAAACGGATATTTTATGTTCACATTTCGAAATGCATATGTTTATATTTTGAATTCTTATGTTCATATTTTGAATTCGTTTGTAAACTTTCTAAAATGCTTATATTCACTTTCTAAATTCATAAGTTCATATTTTTTTATGTATATGTTTACCTTCTGAAATGCTTAATTATGTTCATATGCATTCAAAAATGAACCAATGCATATGCTCATATTTTGAATTCATATGTTCATATTTTTAGTACTTATGAATTATAATGCATATGTTTCATAATCATATTATTTTTATTTCTTCAATTTTTTATGTTCATAATAAAATGCCTTATATTCATAATAATATTTTATATGTTCATAATGTAAATATTCATAGTAAATATTTGTTGTTTTCATTAAGTCTATTTATGCATATCTTCTCTCTCTTAAATGCATATGATCATATTTTTTAAGCATATGTTCACCTTTTAATTTGTTATATTCACTTTAAGGAAACCAATGCTTACGTTCATATTTTGAATTGTTATGTTTACTTTCTGAAATGCATATGTTCATAGTTTTATACTTATGTTCACTTTCTGAAAAGCTAATGTTCACATTTAAGGGAACCTATGCATATGTTCATATTTTGCATGATTATGTTCATTGATAAAAAAAATGCAGAAAATCAAATGAAATTCATACACAAATGAAATTGATCGAAACTAAAAAAAAAAAAAAGAAATCAATTCATATGAATTCAAAAAATCAAATAAACAACCAATTCCATATTGTAAGTAACATATTCAATAGTTAAATCGAAAAAACAAGAAAAATAGGAAAAAAAAGGAAAAGGGAATTAAAGAAGGAAGGAGAAAATATAGAGTATAATTTGTGAATTCAAAGATTCATATATACCTTAATCAATCGAAATTAAAGCACAAAATCGAAAAAATTCATACTTAATAACTACTTTCATGTTGTAAGAAACAAATTCAATCAAAAAAGTGTAAAAAAGGGGGAAAATTAAAAAAACAGAGGAGAGAGAAAATAAAAAATGAAGGAGAAAAATAAAGGAGAAGAAATCTAATGTTCACTTTCTGAAAAGCTAATGTTCATATTGTGTTGTTGTTACACCTATTTCTAGGTGCATGAGTGTGCACCTAAGAATATGTGACTAACCACCACTCTCTCTCTCTTTCTCTCTCATTTCGAGTTAGACGAAGTATAAAACATATTTCTGGGCCTCAACCATCACCTTAAACTTTTGGTTGAGATGGCCCGTGAGCATGGTATCGGAACCAGCGTGATACAAAGGTCACGGCTTTGAATCTCATCCGCCCCTTCTTCAAAATAGAATTAATTCGCACCAGGTATGGGTGGGCCTGTGTTGCATCCACATTTCAAGCCTAAAGGGCCTTTCATGTGAGGGGAAGTGATAGAGTATAAAACATAGTTCTAGGCCTCAACTATAAGCTTAAGCTTTTGGTTGAGTTGGTCCTCTAACAAGACGTGTCAATTCAGATAAATACAAGTTAATCTTTATTATTGACAAAATACAATACTCCGTAATTATAAGGGTAAAATTGATCTTTTTGTAAATTATTTGGGGTAATTATTTGGGATATATTTGTAAATTTACTGGGACTTGCTTTTTAACGTTATTAGTTGATCTTTCTTCCTCTTTCCTTCTCTAACTCAACAGTTAGCGCTACAACTCCAAAATTTTCGACCTCAATTCCTCAGTGCCACTACCACACATTGCCACTACCACACATCACAACCATTGTCATCTGCTATTTCCTCTCCTTTTGCCGCCAACATAACTTATTTCATCATTTTTTACCTATCTTCAAAAATCAAGCCCATTTACGGACTTTACGGTAGTTTCAATAGAAGACATGGTCATCTCTACCCTTTGGGTTGACCGTGCCCTTAATTTCACCCTTCATTCTTAGAGTTTTTGTTGAAGATAGAGGAAGGTGGGTGGAGATCGGGAAAGCTTCAATGGTGTTGGTGTTGGGAAAGCTTCAATGGTGGTGGAGATGGGGAAGTTTCAATAGTGGTTGAGGTCGTAGAAGCTTTAACGGAGGAAGAAGCAGAAAGTTTTAAATGGAGGGAATTTTAATGGTGGTGTTGGTAGAGTAATGGTCGTTATCTTTACTCGTGAAGTGGCATCGAGTATTGTTCTTCAATATTACAACAATGTCATTATTTTGACAAAATTTGTTAATCGTAAAGATTAACGGGAGCTTGCTCGTCACTTCCAGCTATTAGTCGAGTTTGGATTAAATCATTTTGTATTTAATTAAGTAATTGTTCTCCTTTAAGTCAATTTATAAACCAAATCTATTTTAATTTATTTTTAAGGAAAAATCAAATCACTTCAATTAAGTTAAATTGATTTTTTTAGATGAGGATCATAAGGTTTGTTGAGTTAGCTTAACCATTGACAAGGAAAAAAGTGATCTCCTTTTTTCAAAAACTATTATATACAAAGTATGTATTTTTTAATATAATTTGAAATTCTTAAAATTAAGGAATGAAATTTTGATTTTTACCACCTTACAAAAACTCAAAAATTGCTTTTACCACCTCCACATCTAAAACTTTTATTTTACCACCTGATAAAACAATTAAGCATAGCTTTTACCACCACAATCGGACTCCGGTGACGGAATGTTGCTGTGAGCCCTACCAGTTTTCATTTCCCTCCACTTTTAAGAGTAATAAACCCGATTTCCCTCTATCTCTTCCTTTTTCTCACCTTCTCCATTAAATTGTCATCAATTTCTCACCTTCCTCCATTAATTTTTCTGAAATTTAACCCTCTCTCTTCTCATTTTCTGTTCTTTCTCACTGTAAAAAGGTAAACCCTAAGTCTCACAATCATCAATCGCATCTGGAGAAGAGTTGGGACCACAAAATTCGCAACAACTCAGCAGGAAGGTGTCATCTTCAACGCGTAGGGGTCCAAAAGCTTGATTCTTTGTTGACAAAAGAGGTATTTCTAAGTTCCATATTGTACTTTATGTGGGTAATTGGGTGTAATTTGGGGTAAAATAAGCTATTTTTGGGAATATGTGAACTAAACAATTATAAACCCTAATTATGCAAATCTTTGACTTGTTTACACTGTGTAATTGTTAAGTAATTAGTTAATTAGGGCTAGCTTTATTTGGATATTGTTAAATAAGTGCACAGTAATAAAGGTTAATTGGATTTTTTTGTTGTTGCATTAGCAATCGGTGAATAGATGTAATTTGGAATTAGCAATTGTGCAATTAAATACTGAAATTGTTGAATTGTTGTGTTTGTTTTGTTGTTGAATATTTTACAACTAGAATGGATAAAGTGAACCTTAAAATTACATTGGGGGGGGGGGTGCCTTTATACCCTCAATAGGTGGTAAAAATAGAAGGCAGTTATATTGGGATGGTGGTTGGTTTTTTTTGGAGGAAAAATGTTACTATTTCTAATATTGATGTACACTTCTTGAGGGAGTCAGCTATACATGGTTTTGTGTATGCTAATGTGAGGGTGCCAAAGGGATTTAATTGTTGGTATAAACAAAAAGGGAGGTCTTGGGTAACTGGTAAAAGGGAGTTGGTTAGTGAAGATGAGGTAAAGGCTTCCTTAAGACAGTGAATAAAGATGGGGAAATAGAGATGTATGTGACTAGCCATGAGCCAATTCAGGCCACTAAGAAAAACCTTTTAAGCTTATAGATGGTAATGAGTTGACTTCAAAAGAAAGGACCAAACTAAGAAAGAAGTTGGGTGGGCCTATAAAACTAAAGACCAGCCCAATACAGAGTAAGGATACTGGCCTGGAAGTGAGGAGAAGCCCAAGGTTAAAGGGTATTGTGATTCATGTCAAAGAGGGTGAGGACATGAGTGATAGGGTTACCATAGCTGGAGAGATAGTGAGAGCAAAAGATAAGGGAAAGGGAAAGTTGGCTGAGGGAGGTTCTGGTAAGTTAACTGCAAAAGAAAAGGGGAAGAGGAAGGTTGTTGAGGGAGCTACAGAAACTAAGCAAAGAGCAGGGAAGAAGTTGATGTATGAGGATGACAAAGAGGGTGAGGATGGGGAGGGAGAAATTGAGTCTTCTGATTCTGAACACAGTGATCTAGGACTAGAGTGGGAGGAGGGAGAGGAGTATTTTTATGAAGATGATGAGGAGGAGGAGTGATTAAGGCAAAACCTAGAGGAACTTAGAAGTGAAGTCAAGGGCAGCTTGAAAGGTGAAGATGAAGATCCAGAGGAGGCTAAGGATCCTAGGTTTGAAATTGACACCAATTTGAGATCTATTGAAGTGAGTATTGAAAAAGAAGTTCAGGGTGATTTTGATGAGCTTAGGAGCTTAGATGGTGAGTTAGATGATGACAATGCTGGTTGTACTTGGTTTAATGTTGACACATATTTCAGTAAGCATATCCAATTTGAAGTGGGTTTAAGGTTTAGCAATGTTCA